TGTTCGGTGTTTCCAACCAAGAGATTAAACGAGCTAAGTACTAATTTGTGTCCTGGTCAATTAATTGATGAAAATCCTCTTAGCTTGGTTCTTGTTAAAAAAATTGATAACCCAAATCAAATTTTCTTGGTTTTGAACCAAGTCGAGCAAATGGTGCTGCACTCCCATGAAGGATGCAGACATACGAGGGTTGTGGTTCTTGATTCTATAGCCTATTTATTCAGGCATGCACATGACAACACATCCACAAGGTTATGGAGCGGAAGCGGTTGTTAGTGTCCGCAGCGAGAAAGATGAAACAAATTGCTAGTACTTACAACATTGCATTCATTGTGGTAAATGAGGTTACCGATGTTTTTTACAACACAAATAGTGCAGACGGGAGCACATACACTTCAGGCCGGGAAGTTAAGGCATCCTAGGGACAACATGGGCAAGTATGATTCCGTATAAGATGTTCATTTCGAAGCAATACGACAAAAAATCAAAATCATGGTACCGCGAATGGGTGGTTGTGAAGAGCACAAACACCTCCTTATAAAGGCGGCGATGTGCATTCCGAATCGCAAATGCGGGGTTGGCATCATAAGGGATCGTTATATTGCGAATATATTAAAGCCATGTTTGCATTGTAACATTTAGGTAATCTAGGTGAAGAGTACCTTTCACGTCTTTGATTATCGAGTTAGGTGAAGAGTTGATGAGTCTCGTGAATTCCCTTTAGCCTTGACCATTCCTAACCTTTCCTTAAATGTTTTAAACCAAAATCATTCATTTCGTATCTTTGAAAATCATTCATTTTGTGTCCTCTTTATAAAAACGTCCAAGCCGGTCTATTTTGGTCCATAATTCTATTCTAGTTATTGTGTATTTGGATGGGGCTTGAAAAAAGCTTTCCAACGATATATTATAAGCCCAAATCCGACTTATAACGAAGAAATTATGACCAAAATACTAAACCGAGCCCGAACAAAGTCTTACCTGCGACCCAATGACCATGTGGAGGATCCAGTTACCTTAACCTCATTCCTAAATCCATTAGGATTTATTGTGAGCTTCTAGAATCCTCTAGAAGGTTATAATTAACCCTGTTTTCAAAAAGATAAAGATTTAAAAATTTTACATCGGATAAAACATCTGTTTTTCAATGATCCTAATCCCGATCAAAGTAGAATACGTACGGAAATTTGATTAACCCAATCCGATTGGAAATTGGATTCCGTAGGAATCCTATCTTTCAAAAAACATCGCTGAGCGACAACATCATCGCGGCGCGACGAGTCTTTCGCGCCGCGATGAACCTGTCGCGCCGCGATGGGAAGCGTTTTACTCCGAGTCGGATTCTGACTCTTTTATGATCCTTCGACCCTCTTTTTTACTTATAAATAGAGGTCATTTCACCCCATTCACCAAAAATCATCATAGAATCCCCTCTCTTATACTTTCTCTCTCTCTCTTGATTCTTTTCTTAGCCTAGCCTAAATACGTCCTAACACACAGCCTTGATACTTTTCCCAAGCAAACACCATACCTCCTTCACGAGCTTTGAATACTCCTGGACAACCTGGAAGTTGCCTTTGACCTCGACGTGAAAGGTTGATAGTTTTGAGGGTTTGGTCCCAAATCTATATTTTAATTTTTATTTGATTTATCTGATTTAATATATCTTAAAGTTTACTAGTGTGTGTATTGTTTTGATAGAAAGAGATACAAGGCATCAAAGTAAGTAATTCGATTAATTAATTATTCTTTTGATATAGAAATCATGTTAAGATGTTTATTTTGATTCCTAGTATCACGTTAGGATGTTATTAAAATTCCTAGTATCATGTTTAGGGTGTTAACTAATATTTCTAATATCATGCTTCTAGTATCATGTTTAGGTTAATGCTTTGATCTTTATTATTAGTGACATGTTAGGGTTTGTTATTAATCCGTTAAGTATCATGCCTAGGATCTTGCTAATCATGTTTTAATAATGTTTTGATTATGATGATGATTGTTGTGTCAATTATTATATTGCTTGATTATTCATGATTGATTGTTATTGCTTGATCACGCCCCTTCTTGCAGGATTAAAAGAATTTGCACTTGAAATCACGCCTAATAAGATAATTAATAATTTGATTTAGGTTAATATGATTTTAATTCAAGTGATCGCCAATAATAGATTTGATTGTGCATTAATAATCAACCAACGTAGATTAAATATGCTTAGGTTTAATTTGATGTATGTATGTTGATCGGAAAGCGCATATGAATATCATAAGGATTAAGTAGGGGTCGATTTAGGGCGGGTTTAATCTCTTTTAGGTCGGATTCGTACCTTCATCCCCGAATATCCAGTCATGGTTCCGAACCACTATGGAGTTAGCGATCTTCGTGATCGTGAATGGGGTGTAACCTTCACACCCGTGAACGGTTTACAAGTTCCTAAAACTTGTTGGAGACTCTTTTATCTCTAGCTTCCTTTCCTTTAGACGCCACTATGCTTAAAGACATGATCACAGTGGGGCTCAAAGTTGAGTTTGAAAAATTCCCTACAAGTACCAATAATACGTTTAAGGGTACCCCTACAATATTAAAGTCTTCCATCTATCTCTTAAACTGTGGTGGTAACCCTACAATTTTTACTGGTACCCTCGTTAATTTAAATGGTACAAGTCAAACATTATTTGTAATGCTTAAAGGTACCAATGAAATGTTTAAGGGTACCACTACAATATGAAAGTGTAAGTATTCTACATGACATGCAACAATGTTAGAGTATACAATCTTGCTTTGTAGGCAAAAAGTTATTATATTTGTAACCGTTGGTCAACTATGGTAATTACTCCCACCTTACGTGAACGTGGGTATTAGCTACTAATATAAAATGGCTTTAACCTCCTTATATGTCCTCACCAATGACTCGTATTTATTCTGTCATACCATATTTATGCATTTGTCACATACATGATCACCAATGTATGTAATGACCATTTTTCCCATTCGGTCTTACGTAAACAAATACCTTAAAAAAAACAAATTTATCTTGAATAGGCCTTAGTGAGTAAGTAATAAATGTACAACAACTGTGGATCATTTAAACTCCTTCCTTTAACATGCACTACATCCTTAGGTTCTTTGCTGTATTAACTGTATTATAGCTGTATTATTGACGAAAAGAAAAGTTAAACTGAACAAGCAAAATATCTATCTGAATAGAGTTAATAGTTTTTCGTTGGGCTCAATGAAACACTGACAAACCAAAGTATATGATGTGAACTTTAGTCTTACTCATTAAGCACGGTAAATGTATCACAAAGGTAGTTGGAGTTCAATAAATTCTATAACACAACGCCTACATAAATTGGAACTCCATACAACAACAACTACAAACCATCACAGTCTATAAACAAAATATCATACAATTTATGAGCTCTAAAATTTAAACAAAGTACCACCAATTTGACTTGGCTAGAGATTGTGGTTGCCATGGGGAACAAAGGTATTCACTCTTGTCTGATTCTTAATGTTTATCATGATAACAAAATCTTTACTTGTAACCAAATTGTTGGCCTTTCTTTATTTTAACAAACTTTTGTGTTCAACAGGTTGAGTGGTCCTTACATAATATGCAGTCGTATTAAACTACTCTTTAGAGGTACTTATATGAGCGTTTTTAAAATCTGTAATGTTTTCAACTGTTTGGTACATATATAATGTGTAGTGGTACTAATCTAATTTTTAGAGGTACTTATATACTCTAATTTATTTAACTTACGTTATAATTTACATTTATCTTATGTTTTCAACTAATTGTCGTGCTGAAAAAAGGCGTAAGAAGCTCTTATGCAGAGTTACGAAGATAAAGAAAGTCGGGCAACACAATCCTAAGGATATCATAAGAAATTTGTACATGCCTAAGCACAGCAAGAGAATGATGTTAAGTCATCACCTAGCCACTATTGCAAGAGGAGGCTTAAAAGAACCCGTCAAAGGGATTGATTTCCACCTGGACTATCCATTCTTGACATTGTTCAAGATTGGTAGGGGAAGGTACTTTCGCAAGGAGGCATATTGTTTCATGTTTTACTTGCTTAATGTTTCCAAGATAGCCGTGTGCTTCAACTTGAGGACATTAAGGAGATCTCTGGCTGAGTTATGCCTACCCAATTTACCACATTTACCTCAAACGCTTCTTTGAGCTTTTTGAGGATCTTGAGCAATGGTGGTTAACTGTGGATGAGGCGGTGGACAAGGGAGAAGAATGGGGAGTTGTTCTTCTTGGTAGGAGGTTCACTACCCCAAATCAAGGCCGCATCCAACTCACTTGTGAATGACTTCATTTCTCACAAGAGGATCCAGTGGAGACTATTACCAACGACAGCGAGCAGTGCATGTATTTTCGAAGCAAAATGTTGGCAGAAAATGGATACGATAAGATGGGTAACATGTCTCTCGTCATTGCCGAACCGTTTAACTATGATGACTACCCACCTCAACATGTGCACCACCTTCAACATGCACTGCATTTGTATGAGACTAACACGGTTACGAACTCGGCTCATGGGTATGGGTGGACATCGGAATCAAGTTTCGAGTTATGTTGATGATGCTACATTTGCACTTACATCTTGTTATTGTTAAGGTACTCGTATTGTAGTTGTTACTTTTGGTAATGTTTATTACTAATTAAGGAAAGGTTGTAGCTAAATTACTACATTTATGTATTAGGACTCTGAGATGTACTTCTAATTATGCTTTCCAGGCTCTAAGCCAAAATTTTATATGTATGGTAGTCGTGTGCTTCAATAAGAGGACTGAAATTATATATTTATGTATGCTAATCGTGTGCTTCTTCAACTTGAGGACTGGAATTTATGTATGTGCCACTCGTTTGTTTAATTATGTTGTCATGTGGCCTATAACCCAAAAAATTATAAATTAGGACATATTGGGAGTTTAAAGACTGTATACGACCAAAAGTGCTAGTCGAATTACTTCAAAAAACATCATGCAAGCAGAAAATACAGCCACAGTCCACATTACCTTGCTTGTTCCATAAATATTGTCTACCATCACAGTTGAAAACATGAACTACAAAGACTTAGCATCACAGTTCAAAAGATGAACAACACAAACTTAGCATCACAAGTCAATTACAAAGCACATAGTCTACCATCTCAACTCAAAACCTGAACTACACACAACTACATAGTAAGTTGAGAAGATCCTGTCCTTTTGGGCCAGATGCGTTCCTTGGGTCGTATGTCATCGAACTTGTCTCTGAGTTCGTTGTAGTAGTTGTTAGCATCCTCTAGAAACAATGTTTTTCGCAAGTTCTTGTCCTACACCAAAGAATAACTGTTATAAACCAAACCAAGATGCGCTCCTTCCATAGACAATATCAAATCACCCAATTTTGCAGCAACATACCAGGGGGAAACTGGTATCAAAACTACTACGTGCACAGTGTTTAATGCAACCAAGCATTAGGACACCACAGGAGAAACTATACATGAATAGCAAGAATGGTTAGTTTAAGTAAACAAAAACTTGCAATGACATTTCAAATTCAAACTTTAATACCCCTAATTATATAAGTTATATAAGTTATTAACATTAACTGAATAAAATCTTAACAACACTGCAAGGATCCGGGTTCTTACGTATCAGTTTCCTTCACCATGTCAACCACCTTCTGAGGCCACTTGTCCAAACTTCCCAACTCCCACAGAGGATCTTTCAGTTGGAACAAAACATCTACTGCCTTCACCTGCATGACAAAAACCAACATTAGGCTCCAATTACCATAACAAATTACTTATAGAAGGGAACCTACCAAGAATGGGTGCCCAACTTACTAACCAGTTTTGTAAGAAGCTCTGCGTGGTCTTCGTAAGGATCCCAATATAAGGAATCAATCATCCAAAACTGCTTCTTCACCAAATCCATTACAAGGCACCACCAGTGTTTATCCACATCATCGGCAGACTCATCAAGCACAAGCATGAACACCTGTTCCAGAAACAATACCCAAACAAATTAGAAGATCTCCTAGAAAACTTTTACTGCCAAACTGACCTAAAATAAAAAAGAATAGGTGCATACTAATCTTATTTCATCGGTGGGGATGGTTAACAATGGCTTTCCATACTTCCTTGCAAGTTTCTCATAATCCCTGTCCTTCGCCTTAATCATCATGTAAACATGTTCATTCAATCATCAAAATTAATAATGTTGTACTAACAGGTGACTTACTTTTCATATGAATTACACCAAATCATGACACCACTACCACTAACACTTACTGATTATGAGGGATCCAACAAAATCTGTTTCCTCCTATTCAGAAACTCCATTGGGCTCCAATACTTTGTGTACAAAGTCGATGCCATCCGCACATATTGATGCCTAAGATGCGCTCTAGGACCTACTACACCGTAACAGTCCCTTTGTGGCATTCATCCCATTGCATTCAATGATCGACGGTCCTGGCCTGCATTAAAACAATAGAAAAAAAAGTGTAACACATCTAAAACTTATTTTTACAAGCACAACTACTCCATCTTTGTCATAAATCTAACTTAAGTTAAATTTAACAAAAAGACACAAATGAAGTTGTTTTCATCCTTCAAATCCTTCCACCCTTTAACAAACGTCTCTAACCACTTATCATAAGTTGTTTCCCGGGTCACCGTAAGAACAGGTTCACCATTGCCCTAATGACTTCCACATGAAGATTCCTTCTCTTCATTTGGGCACTTTTCTGTGGCTGCATTCACCTTCATACCCTTGTTACTGTTCCCACTATGACGGGGCTGGCTCCCTTTACCGGTGCTAATAGTGTGCACATCTTGATCGTTCTTTGGTTGACCCGCCTTGGAACCAGTATCTAATGCTGTCCAACAATCCCCTCCACTAGAGTTACAAGCCTAGGAGTTAACAGAGCAAGGACCTACAACAGCCAATTGTACATAACAAAAAATTGATTATCATAAAGTACGCTCAGTATTAGTCACTTTTTAACCTAAATGATCACAAAAGTTAGATACCTGATCCGCCATAATATTAATTGAATTATTAACAACACCTTTACTTTCCACCAACCTGACATCACTATCTCGTGGAACTAGAGGATGTCCTCCCCATAGGCAATATCAAGAACCTGTTAAGGACCACCAAAATTAGTTAACTGTTATACACGGCAAAAAGGAACAGAAACGTCACTAACAATTCACCGGCAAATGCCCAAATTCTTCATCATACCGTCGGTCTTCGTCTACAGCTGCCCTCACCTATTCAGAATTCCACACCTTCACCCTAGGATAAACACCACTGACTTAGTACACGGTGGAGGTGATCCAAGTAAAAAATCTGCTATTCCACTACCTTCATTAGTAACTTTGAGGGGTTAAATCCTTAAAAAACAAATTAAGTACATAAGCTTACCAAGACAAACACAATGCTCCTACCACATCTGCACTGATAACCATTTTTCTGAAACTTTGTCTGAAATCGATTAGCACAGTCGCGCACCCAATCAATTGTGAACTTGCACCAATCATACTCTACAGCTTCACATGCCACTGTTAATGTCAGCAATAAGGATGTAGCCAAATTCGAACTGTTTGTCGTCATGCAGACTACCATCCCTAGGGAAACAATTAAAAAGCAATCATAAAGTCCTCTTTATCAACTTCAGTCTCAAGCTCGACAAGAGAACCATCTTCCAGTTCAGGGCACATGGCTGCAACTGCTAGATTTAGGGTCACCGTTTTCTCTTTCGACCTAACACCATATTGTTTAAATACCCTCATAATCTTCTGGGTATCCTCTTCGTCATCCCCGAGAACTAGAGGAACTTCCTTAGTTCCCATTGGAGTACCAAGAATGGACCTTACTTGATTTGGCCCCAAAGGAAGAATTGCTCCATCTCCAAATATCATTGTCTCATCAGCAAACACTTTACTCATCAGCCAGTAAAATAACTGCCTCGGGATATTCTTCATATCCAAATTCAACAACCCCCCAAAACCCATACTATTCACCAACTCCCGCCTCATACGATCAAACTTCTTCAGAAGAACACAAAACTTTTCCACTCTGCATACAACATTGGGCTGCTGTAAAACAATGCCACAAGTTAGAACCATGATCAATGAACAACTATATTTCAGTCACAATGTTACATCCAACTTATTTTCTTAGCATTAATCATTACAAAATAACATAAATTTGTTTCAAGTTAGCTCCAGATCATTTTCCTTACACAAAAAGTATAGCTATAAAATATAACTACTTATACAATCAATAACCTTAAGAAGAGCATCTCAATACCTTCCCAATGTTCTCAAAATGTGTCCTTAAGACTACACCGTCAGCCATAACTCTATGTCCTTCTGTTTTAATACCCTGTAAATACATTATTTACCTGGTCACCGTTCAGAAATTAACAAAAACAAATAAATTTAGTTACTGCCTCTATAACTTAAAGCATTGTAAGCTTAACAATTAAATATTTACGACTGTAAGTGATCAAATTTAGATTCAATCAAATTAAACAACACAACTTCAGCTACCAAATTTGCATCAAATTGTTTATTCCATCAGCAGAACTACACCTTCTTATTTGCCCCGCCGTAGACCGACTTCCCTTATTTCCCCCTACTCTTTCTCTTCAAATACTCCTTAACCAGCACCTCCATAAATCCAGAACTTGAATCTGAACCACCCTCATTGCTCGAATGTGCAGATTCCTCACCTTCCTCATCTCACCTTCTTCATAGTCTTCGTCAACATCACATTTTGCCTTACGTTTACCAGTCAAAGCCACAGGTTTCGATTGACCCACAGGTTTTTCCTGTGATGAAGAACCCACAGGTTTTGACTTTCATGGTACCTCCCTTTTTAATGGACCATGAAAATTATCAAACAAATAACTTCAACACTTAGAGAACAGTCAATCTACCAGATCATGGTACATTAAAAACCATAAATACTCACCCCCCACTTTGTCCTATTCATTGACTGCACAATTGACTTCTTCTTCTTGACTTCAGTGTAGCTGATCCCAGTTTGAATTCAAAATTAGTTCCAATACCAATTCATGTCAATTTTCAGTTCAAAAATAACTCAATTCATTTAGACTTCAAAAGCAAATAAAACATTCACTACTCAGATGCATTTTTCATCAACATATGCATTCTATCATCAACTGGCAAATGACACAAAATACCCCTCAGACACATAACAACGTATTACTCAACTAGCACAGACCAATTAATCCAACATAGATAACTTTCACTCCTTTTAATCAGATAATAGACAAACACATACTACACAACAGGTTAGGTTAGTACACCCTATACAAGCATATCAAATAAATATTAACACAAATACTTCACAAAGCATATCAATTCTACGCAATAACATACTACACAAGCATATACATAACTACCCATCACTACGATAAAACATTCAGAGCACACTACACAAGCCATGCAGAACTGCCTATCACTAAGATAAAACACTTTCATTATTAAAATCTAAAGACCCAAACTTACTGCACCTGACCATAGGATCATTGACAAACAAACCCCAAAAATATTCACTAGTAATTCAGTTATAAATAGTAATTCAGTACGCCATGAAAAGTGAAATCCATATGAACACCAAACATTACAAAAATAATGAGGCTAAAGATAATAATTCCCCAACCAATCCTACATTAATTCCATCCCACCAATTCACTAACTACATATATACCCAGGTTTTTTCCCAAATTAATGTTGAAATTTTAGAATTCCCATGATAACAATGCCCAGAAAAACCCACGTTTTCCACAAATTAAATTAAACCCTACCTGCGACCCAGCGTCATAATTGCAACCCATTTTCACAATTGCGACCCTAATTGCAAGCCATTTTCAACACGATTAAGGCCAACTAAAAAAACCTATCTTTCCCCGAAAGTAAACCCTAATTGCGACCTTAATTGCAAGCCATTTACAACACGATGAAGCCCACCTAAAAACCCTAACTTTTTACTCCCTTACTCTTCAACAATTTTTGGTTTAAAACCCTAACTTTACTCACATTTTCCCCGAAATCAAACCCTAATAGCGACCTTAATTGCAAGCCATTTACAACACGATTAAGGCCACCTACAAAACCCTAACTTTGTACACCCTTACTCTTCAACAATTTTTAATAAAAAACCCTAAATTTAATCATGTTTCCCCCCAAATTAAACCCTAATTGCGACCCATCTCGTAACCCATGTTCCCAATTGCAACCCTAATTTCAAGCCTTTTAGAAAATAACCCTAATTTTTAGAAAACAACGATTATAGGAAAACCCTAACTTATTCAATTCAAATTTCAACAATTAAACATATAATTACGCACCTAATTCAACAATGGAGGGAGTATGTATACAATTGGTCAAATGAATCGCCCCGCACCGCCCTTTCCTTTGAACAAACCTTCACCAATTTCAAATACTTTCTACCACTTCACTACCTTCAACTTGCAACAACTATGTCTGATTATCTAACCTCAGTTACGTAGAATAAATGGAGAGGAGAGGAGCTCAGAAATTATGGGAAAGATAGAGAGACGAACAAGTTGAAGAAAGAGAATTTCGTCAAAGAGAGAGAAAGACAACAAAGTTGAAGAGAGAGAAAGAGATTACTTTTTTGGGGAGAGAGAGAAACATATGAGACAAATTAACTTTTCATAACGGGATGCTTTTCCTCGAAACGGCGATCAGGTGGCAATTTTCAAAATTCTTATTAAATGATCCTTTTGACCCCGCGAGACACGCCTTAATGTCTCTCAACCCTCCATTTGGAACGCCTCTTATTTAAAGAACCACTATGGTTATAGCGATTCATTAAATAAAATTCTTAATGTCAAGCTTTTTTGTTATCGCTTTTTTGTTTTCAGTTCTCTTGAAAGAAAAAAAAATGAGTATTTCCTCCATCTTGTAATAATTGCAACACTTAGTGTTGCACAAAGTTTTAAGAAAAATATAGGGTGAGAACCAAAAGGTGATTTTATACTAGTATATAGAGTGTAGTCAGCGAAGAAATATTCAATTGTTATTAGGAGAGAAAAATAATAAATAAATAAAAAAGTACTCCGTAGTGTAAGTGGGGTTGATAGGAGCTGAGAAAGAAATAATAAAATAGTTGTGGGTCTTTACCAAATAAGGAAGTGTTGCAATTATTATGAAACGAATGTGAAAGAAAAGTGTTGTGATTATTACGAAACGATGGAGTATATTTTTACCCTTTTGTTGTCAATTACAGGTTTGACTAAATTTTGAATTTTATATGACTTATATATGTCATAGGACTATATAACTAAAATAAAAATTTAAATTGAAAAGTACATTGATGCCAAACAAGCTCGCTATTAGCGATTTTCATTTCACATACTATCTCCGCTTCTAAAAGTTCGACTCACTTACTATTCATGTAATTAAAATAAAATGACTTTGACCACATTCTATGATTTATACAAATAAATAAATTAGCATGCGGGATCTTATTAGATTCCCCTTATTATAAACTTTCCGAATATCAACTTTTTATAATTTTCACTTATACATTCACGAAGATATTAGTGGTTAAAGTTTTTCATTGAATACCGCGCAAATGTAAAGTGAGTCGAACTTTCAGGAATGGAGGGAGTCTAAGTGTATAACATGTGTTTTTCTTCAAGTCATGAGTCAACAATCCATAATCGTTGATCAGTTCGGCTTAAAACTGCTACTAGTGATAGAGGTGTTTATTAATACAACAGAAGTGGTTTTAGATCGGAAGCAAAAAGGAAAAGAAAAAAATTACAAAAATCGAAGTTCTTAACCGATTTTATGTGGATAGTTTATGAGAAATTAACTTTAAAATCGACGCATGTAATAAGGAATAATTTTTTTTAAATGCATCACTTTGGCTTTTGCATTTATTTACATATCATCTTTGACTTATTTTTTTGCTTTTATAAATATAGATAAATGTTATTATATAATATATAATTAGATTAGTCACAATGTATATTTTCATAAAATAATTTTATTACCATTTTTACTTTTCAAAAATTAGAGATATTAAACGTCAAACTTGCATCTTGGCAAATGTTTCGATCAAAGTGATGCATTAAAAAAAACAGAGAGAGTAGCATTATATACATGCATTATGCATTAACCTCAATTTTTTTCATATTACAATGTACCTATTAAGTATTTTCACATGTTTAGTATATGACCAACATTTGTGAGTGTAATACCCCGTATTTTTGAAACGTATTTTCTAATTAATTAGTTTTTTCTAAAAAGGGTATTTAAGTAATCTCTTTAACTATTTAAATTTTGGAGCCAAAATGATATTTGAATTTTGGTGCCAAAAACATTTTAAAACTTAAGTATTATTTTCGGATTTTTGGATTAGATTTATTATCCATTTATTTTACTTTAAAAACCGGATTATGTATATATTTCGGATATTTTAATTAAGCAAAAAAAAATTATATTTTCCTATTTATTTTTTAAAGGGCCGAAAATCTATTTAATTAGGCTAGGAATTTTTATTTTTTTCCGGTTTGGGTTTTTTTTTTTTTTTTTCTCTTCCCGGATTGTGGTTGGTCTGGTTGGTGGGGTTGGGTGCAGTTTGGGTGTTTTTTTTTTTTTTCGGTTTGTGGTTGGTCTAATTGGTGGGGTTAGGTGCGGTTTGGGTGGGTTTGGTGAGGGTTTGGGCTGATAGTGTGAGGTGGGTGTTGGTGGTATGGGTTGGTGGTGTGTGGTGATGGCTGGTGGTTGTGTATGGTGGTGGTTTACGGGTTTTGGTGGGTGTTGAGGTGGGTTAGTGTGTTTACGGGTTAGGTGGACTAGTAGGGGTTAGTGTGTTTATGGGTTAGGTGGACTGGTAGGGGTTAGTGTGTTTACAGGTTTGGTTTTGGTGGTCGAGTTGTGGGTGGTGTTAGGCGTCTGATGGGATGGTGTGGGGCATTTTTTTTAAAATCCTTTTTCGATTGAAAATTTCGACGGACTTTTCCAGGCCAGAATATCTCTTCCGATGCATGATTACCGTGGGAAAAGTGTTTCCGACGAAAATTCGGTCGGAAAAGGTCGTTTTTCCTACAAATGCTCTTCCGACGACAGTTCCGTCGGAAACACGTTTTTCGACGGATTTTTTTTGTCGAAAACGCCTGTTTTCTAGTAGTGCCACCCTCTGCCGGCAGCAGCCACCTTCCGGCTAGCTGTTGCCCCCTTAGCCGAGCCTCTCCTTCGGTTTTTTACTTCTTCTTCTCTTCTCCTAATTAATTCAATTATTATTATTATTATTATTATTATTATTATGAGGGTTATATAAAAAAAATTATTATAGGTGTTTTAAATTAAATAAAATCAGTTTATTATTTTAAGTTTATGAAATGATTTTTTATAAGGTTCATGTACATATAATTGGGGGTTTATTTTAATTGTTGTGATTATTTGATGACCTTATATTAATTAAGGTTATATTTAATTGTAGGGTGTTTTTGACAAGAGTGCTTGAGGTTCTTTTTGTGTTTACTAAGCGAGGATCAAGGTATGTTTAGGTGGCTAGATACCTTCGAAAATTAATTGGATTGAATAAGCATGTTTGTGTATTTAATGATGATTGAATTAAATTGTTTTGAATTATGATTTATAAAATAACCTCGAGAATTCATAAATATGTTTGAGAATGAATTTTTATATCTTGTTTAGAATGGTTTGAAATTATTTATTCTGTTTAAATGAATTTGATTTTTAAAAGTATGTTGGATTGATTTAAAGAGTTTAAAGTTAGAATTTAAAAGGTTTTGATTTTAAGAGCATGTTGAATTAAATAAAAAAGGAGTTTTGAGTTATTCTATTATAAAGTTTGATTTTATTCAAAAGAGGAATTATTGAATTATTTATTAAATCTTTACAAGCATGATTATATTAATCCCACAATGCGGATTTGGTTGATAACACTATGGATTTTGTATGACCTAGTCTTTTCTTAAGGATAGTCTTTCTACATAAAGACACTAACTTGGGGGATGTGCACAAATGGAAGAGGAATTAGTTTTTAAAAAGAGAAATTGATTTTAATAATCATTATTATTTGAATTATTGAGTTATTGGAATTGTTTTGAGAATCTTGAGAATTGGTTTTGAATTTATGAGTTTGGAATTATTAGAGTTATCATTTAAATTGGTTTTAAAAGCATGTTTGCTAATAAATTGAGTTTACATTATCTTGCACTTATTGTACTTAGCATATTTTGCTAATCTGTATTTTCTATTTGTTTTGGTTCGCCCTGTTTACCTTAATGGTAGCAGTATTGACTGTTTTCGGGTGGAGTCAATAAATGAGAATTTAGGAGTTTTGGTTCGCCCTGTTTACCTTAATGGTAGCAGTATAGAAACTTTTTAGGTGGAGTCAATAAATGAGAATTTGGGAGTCCCGGGATATGCTTTACATAGTTTTAGGAATGTTGGTTTTATTTCTATTTTTGAGTACTCTTAACAATGGTTACTATTTTTACTAAGAATTAATAAAGAAAGAGTTTTGAGTTTCCGCTGCAATATTTGGTAGTTTTGGGTAGCCTTGCGTAATCACGCAGCTGTAATATGCCTAAGTTTATCTCTATGGTATAATTATACGTATTATACTGGTATTTCCGTAGAGGGAGATTTGGGGGTGTTATAGTGAGAATTGCTTTGGATTTGTGTGTATCATTATCTACAAAAATTTCAGTTGTTATATATGATAGAATAAACTCATTCTCAATAGTCAATACCCCTGTTTTCTTCTTATTTTCCCTAAAGGAAATTTATGAACAAACAAATATATGTTTAGGGGTGGAATTCATTACCATAGTAAACTATGTTCAAATGCATATAATGTGTGCTTCAAAATCACTATTTAATGATGATATTTATACGCTCCCTTCAATCCTTTCGTAAAGATGTTCCATACAATATTTTGTTGGAAGTCGTTCCACAGAGTTGTTCTAGTTTTCACATTTCATTAAGTAAGTAGCATTTTTAAGTTAATTTTATTTTTTTAAAGTATCACTTATCCACCACAGTGGTAAATCTAGGAATTTCAATCGGTGGGATCTGACGGCTTTTCAAAGACTTCGAGCATAAGAAATTAAAAAGAGGGGCAAAGACACCTTGTTTTTGTTTTCAAGCACCAAACTTTTTTAGCCTTGTTTTCTACTATGATGAATTTAAGATCAAAACCAAAGGTTTTGGGAACCTTGTTACTCTAAATTATTAGTAGGAATTTCGTTAAATGTGTGGTGGAAACCATCAAATTACAGCATAAAAGCCTAAAAAAAAAGCATAAAAAACACATATAATTCTACAATATCAACTAAAAAATGTAATTCAAACCAAATTGCCATGTTCGATTGTTCGATTTGGCTGATGGGATTCAAACTCATGTCCTCTATATGCTATGGAGACTTTTTTACCGAGAAAATCCAAGTTTATCTTTGAAATAAACCTGCAAATACATCTCATCTCACAATTCAATTTTTCTTTTATTTTTCGAGTAATAAAACTATTTTTTTTTAAAATGAAGTGGCACGAAAACGATGTAGCAAATTATGAGAGGAGATAAATTGTGATGTTAATCTCGGAAATTAACCCGGGCTTCCTCTTTTCACCCCAAGGCGTAAGTGCATAGTTTAAAATAATAAGAAGAACACATTGATAAACGATTAATGGTCTTCTTCACCTGAATTCCTTTTTTCTATATATGATTGAATTAACACTACATTAAAATCCAATTCAAAACTAAAATAGAATTTAAATTGTGAATTGAGGATTATGGTTAGGTGTGTGTAAGAATTCCACTTGACCATAGAAAGAACTAGAAAGGACTAGAGGAGATAGAGAGGTAAGCCGAGACTACAAATAAAAGAGCAAAAAACCCTTTTTCGATTTTTTAAAAATTACTTTAATGTTAAAAGATTTTTCCACCGACAAAGATAGTTATCAATGAAGGTAGAGTAAAGAAGAAGAGAAAGAGTATGGGTGGAAATGTAAAGGTAGAGTAAAGAAGAAGAGAAAGAGTATGGGTGGAAATGTAGTCATCTTTACTACTACTTCATGCTCTATTTATAGTAATTTTTACAATAGAATATTAGACATTATTGTACCTACTAATATAGGATTAATAGCTATAATTGATCTAAATACATGTGAACATTCACATTTACATATTTCTCAACACTTCCCCTTGAATGTTCACATGAAATGGGGTGTGAGTTGCCTTAAAAATCTTGCTAGGTAAAACTCTATGGGATAAGACCTATATCTAAAAGAAACACAACGATATTATTGTATTATATGCTTTGGTATACCGCCTCGTTAAAAACCTTGTCAGGAAAAACCCATTGGGATAAAAACCTGATCGAAGGAAAAAAGAGTGTGGTGCATATAATACTCCCCCTGATCTCAACATAGTTCACGAAGATGACACATTCCAATTTTGTGAACTAATTGCTCAAATTTCTTAGAAGGAAGTGATTTGGTGAACAGGTCAGCAAGGTTGTCACAAGATTGAATTTGTTGAATATCTATTTCCTCATCCTTTTGCAGATCATGTGCGAAGAATAGTTTTGGGGATATATGTTTTGTTCTATCTCCCTTAATATATCCCTCAGTTACTTGAGCGATGCATGTTGTATTGTCTTCAAAGATGGTTGTTGGGTTTTCTGTTATTGCCTTCATTCCACACTCCTTTTGGATATTACTAATCATCGACCTCAGCCATACACATTCACGTCCTGCTTCATAAAGTGCTATCAACTCTGCATGATTTGAGGATGTCGCGGTCAATGTCTGTTTTGTTGATTTCCATGATATTGCTGTGCCGCCATAAGTAAACAAATATCCATTTTGTGACTTGGCATTTTGAGGATCCGATAAGTATCCAGCGTCTGCATATCCAATGAGAGCAGCACCTTGTTTCATTTCATAATATAAACCAAGGTCTTGTGTCCCTCGTAGGTATCGGAGTAAGTGTCGGACTCCTTTCCAATGTCTGTATGTCGGTGCATTGCTGTACCTGGCTAGAAAGTTCACAGAGAAAGCTATGTCGGGTCTAGTGTTGTTAGCTAAGTACATTAAGGCTCCAATTGCACTTAAGTATGGTACTTCTGGACCCAGAATTTCTTCATTTTCTTCTCGGGGCCTGAATGGATCGTTTTTCATATTCAAAGAACGAACAACCATTGGGAAGTTGATTGGAGTTGCTTTGTCCATGAAAAATCTTTTCAAAACTCTTTCTGTATAGTTTGGTTGATGAACAAAAATACCATGACTCAAATGCTCAATTTGCAATCCAAGGCAAAATTTAGTTTTTCCAAGGTCTTTCATCTCAAACTCTTTCATCAAGTATTTTGCAGTTTTCTCAAGTTCATTTGGGGTTCCGATGATATTCAAATCATTAACATAAACTGCAATAATAGCGAATCCTTATTGTGACCGCTTTATGAAAACACAAGGACTAATTTTATTGTTCTTGAACCCTTCTCTCATAAGGTATTCACTGAGACGATTATACCACATCCTTCCAGATTGTTTCAATCCATAAAGTGCCCTTTTTAGTTTTATGGAAAGTAATTGTCTAGGTTTGTGGTTTTCTGGTAGTTTTAGTCCTTCAGGGACTTTCATGTAAATGTCTGTATCGAGTGACCCATACATATACGCAGTCACTACATCCATTAATCGCATTTGCAGTCCTTTTGTGACTGTCAAACTTACCAGAAATCTTAATGTAGTTGCATCAACTACTGGAGAATATGTTTCTTCATAATCGATCCCTGGAATTTGAGAAAATCCTTGGGCTACAAGTCTTGCCTTGTATCTAACTATCTCATTTTTCTCATTACGTTTTCTCACAAATACCCATTTGTATCCAACGGGTTTTACACCCGCTGGTGTAAGGGTTATTTTTCCGAAAACTTCTCGTTTTTCAAGTGACTTCAACTCAGCCAGCATTGCCTCCTCCCACTTTGGCCAATCACTCCTGTGTCGGCATTCTTCCACTGTTCTTGGTTCAACATCATTTTCATCGGACACAATGTCGATTGCGATGGAATTTGCAAATATTTCATCCACGATAACATCTTTCCTATTCCAATGAGTCTTGGTAGAGACATAATTCATTGAAATTTCATTGTTATTGATGTTTTGAACATCTTGTTCATTCCCCGTAGGGTTGTCTTCTTGTTCATCCCCTTTTGGATTATCATCATTTTCTTTACTTTCATTCACATTTGGTCTTTCTTGACCTTCTGACGGGGAAATATCATTAGTCTCATTTTCTATTCCATCCAATCTTTTCAACATCCTTGGTTTAGAATCTTTTGAACCAAGTGGTCTCCCACGCTTTCTGCGTGCTTGGGATTCATTCTCAATGGCCTTATTATCAGTTGGGATTTCAATACGTGCAGGGGCATTTTCTGCTGGTATATGTGATTTTTTCACCTTCTTTGTGTCTACAAATGCATCAGGCAATTGATTTGCAACACTTTGTAGATGAAAAATTTTCTTGACTTCTTGTTCACACACATTTGTTCGTGGGTCTAATATCAACAGTTGTGTTGCATTCCAAATAAGTTCTATTTCTTTCTTGCGTGGGTCCACTTTCTCTCCCCCTAAGGCTGGGAATACTGCTTCATTAAAGTGACAGTCGGCAAATCTAGCCGTAAATAAGTCACCAGTCAATGGTTCAAGATATTTTATTATAGAGGGGGATTCAAACCCAACATAAATTCCCAGCCTTCTTTGTGGACCCATTTTTGTTCGTTGGGGTGGAGCAATGGGAACATATACAACACAACCAAAGATTTTTAGATGTGAGATACTTGGTTCTCGACCACAAACAAGTTGTAGTGGTGAGAATTAATGATAAGCTGTAGGTCTCAATCTAATTAGTGCTGTTGCATGTATTATAGCATGTCCCCAAGCAGATGATGGCAATTTTGACCTCATTAATAATGGTCTTGCAATCAATTGCAATCTCTTAATTAGTGATTCAGCTAGACCATTTTGTGTGTGAACATGAGCTACTGGGTGTTCAACATCAATTCCGATTGACATACAATAATCATTAAATGTTTGGGATGTAAATTCCCCAGCATTGTCGAGTCTTATTTTCTTTATTGTATGATCTGGGAATTGTGCTCTTAATTTGATAATTTGGGCAAGCAATTTTGCAAAGGCAACATTTCTGCTTGAAAGCAGACTTACATGTGACCATCGTGTAGAAGCATCAATTAAAACCATAAAATATCGAAATGGTCCACATGCTGGATTAATTGGCCCGCAAATATCTCCCTGAATTATTTCCAAGAATTTTGGAGACTCAATAGCAATTTTGTTCATAGATGGTCTTATTATTAATTTGCCAAGTGAACATGCAGAGCATGCCAATTCATCCGATCGAGGAATTTTGACATTTCTTATTGAATGTCCAATTGAATTCGCTATTATTCTTTGCATCATCCCAGTTGTTGGATGTCCCAACCGATCATGCCATAAAATAATCAAATGTTTGTCATCTAACTTCTGGTTAGATACCATATTGATTTCCACAGGTCGTATGTTTATATGATATAATCCCGAAGAATATGCTGGCAATTTCTCATAAATGTGTTTCTTGCCAGATTTTCCTGCCGTGAGGCATAAATACTCCTTTTGACCTGTTGTCATTGTTTCTAAATGATAGCCATTTTGGCGTACATCTTTAAAGCTTATGAGATTTCTTCGAGATTTACTCGAGTATAAAGCATTATTGATCGTTAATTTTGTTCCATTTGGGAGCATTATACAAGCCTTTCCAGATCCTTCAATTAATTTTGCTGACCTGGAAATAGTATTTACATTTGCTTGAAACAACTTTATTTGTGAAAAATATTTCCTATCCTTTAAGATAGTGTGTGTTGTTCCACTGTCCGAAAGACATTGATATTCGGAACCAACTTCAGGCATATCCATATCTTCATAAAATAAATATGAGATTAGTTTAGAATAATATCATACAAACTTTTATTGATGATAGAAATTAAAAATACATGACTAGACATTTTAAAATACAGTACACAACAGACAATATATTAAAACATAGTGTATGTTACATTAGCAGATAGATTATTTACGCATTGTTATTTTCTCTGAAGATGAAATCATTTCCAATTTCAGCATTGTCCATGAAAAAATCTGACACATCAAGGGTAGGGCAAGGAGCATTTTCTTCATTAACATAATTTGCTTCTGCATTTTTCTCTTTGCCTTTTACAGAAGCTTGGTAAAGGTCTACTAAATGTTTGGCCGTAAGACAAGTACGTCCCCAATGCCCTGTCATGCCACATCTGTAACATGTGTCTTTTCCTTTTGAAGGAGTTTGTTTGTGGCTTCCAGATGACTGTCCCTTCTGCTTTTCAAAAATTTTGAAATTACTGTTTCTTTGAAAATTATTTCTACCACGTCCTCAGCCTCGTCCGCGATAATTTCCACGGCCTCTTCCACGACCATTGTAATTTCCACGTCCACCTCTTCGTGTAGCATTTGCCTCGGGTGGATAAGAACTTGTTGCATTTGCCTCATGATGAGTGGCCAAAGACCCAGTTGGTCTAAGATTATGATTTTTCAACAAAAGATCACTATTTTGTTCCGCAACAAGCAACACACTCATTAATTCATTAAACTTTTTAAAACCTCTTTCGCGATATTGTTCTTGCAACAGTATGTTGCTTGCATGAAAGGTAGTGAGTGTTTTTTCAATCATCTGTTCATCGGTGACTGGATGATCACAATATCTCAATATAGATACTATCTCATGCATGGTTGAATTGTAATCAATTACGGATTTGAAATCCTGGAACCGTAAATTTGTCCAGTCAAATAATGCCTTAGGAAGGAGCACCCTTTTGTGGTGTCCAAATCTTTCATTAAGGCAATCCCATAATTCTTTGGGATTTCCAACCATCATGTATTCAGTTTTAAGGCCTTCATGTAAATGATGCCTTAATAACACTAAGGATTTTGCCTTTTCTTGTTCAGTAACAGGTTTTTCAACCGTCATGGCAGAAGTGGTAGTATCAGTTGTTTGACCAGAGGGACTTTTATTATCTTTAACAGTGTGATCCAACCCTTGAGCTTTTCAATTCATCATGGCATCCACTTTCCATTCCAAAAATTTCTTTCCAGATAAATCTAGGATGCTGAATTGTCTTTTCATAAGATCTCCCATTTTAACTACAACAAATCATGTGATGATTAGTTTATAATAATAAATCATATGTATAACACATATGTTTAATTCTTCCATATTTATAGTTTGTTAATGAAACACGTGATAATTAAATTTATTTAACAATAATAAACCATAAATAATATAATTCTTTTCTCCCCCTTGGTTTATTATCGTGAGTAATTATATAATTAGACAAAAATAAATCTTATTAGTCGCATAAATGGCAAAACGACAATAACAACAACAACAACAACAGTAGTAATTATAATTATAATAATAATAATGGTAATATATAATGATGATTAACAACAAAACAACATAATAAAACAAAAACATGCTTTTAATCTACTAAACCGACAAAATAAACAAACTTCACTTGTACATCATGACAAAAATTAATATTGCTACTAACATAACTACAAGCGCCATAATTAGAAGAAGATATTGTTTTATCTTCCTTAAATCTTCCTCAAAAGTGAAGGTGTGGGTGTTTTGGGTGTTTTGGTTGCCGTTGGGGAACATATTGGAGAGGAAGGGGTGAAAATTTTTTTTGGGTGATTTTTGGATAAAGAAAAAAAATGGGAGAAGATAAGGGGTTTGTGGTGAAAATCGGTGGAAAATCTACCTTTTATAGAGGTAGGTTTATCTGTTACTGTTTTGTACAATTGTAAAAATATCATATAATAGTTTAATGTACTGACAAAATTATGATCCAAATATAAATATTTATATTTGTAAAAGGTTATCACACTGGGAATGCATGCCATAGTGGTTCGAGAGCCCTAATATCTACAAAAGGTCATGGGTTCGAAACTGAAAGAAACACAAAAGTACGTAAAAGAAAGAAAAATAATAAATATAAAAGGCTGCATCTTTTTTTTTTTTTTTTTTTTTCACCGATGTTTTGCCTCCCCTTTTTTTGTGATATATAATACAGTAAATGTTTGAGTTTCTGGTATAGAGGATCCCAAAATATGAGCAACTATAGAGCATACTCCTCAAAACATTTAAAATAGATAGTATTTATTTGTTATAATTTTGAGAAGTAGGTATAAATATACCTGACTAGGAATTGGTGCTGATAACGTGTTAAAAGATTTTTCCACCGACAAAGATAGTTATCAATGAAGAAGAGAAAGAGTATGGGTGGAAATGTAGTCATCTTTACTACTACTTCATGCTCTATTTATAGTAAGTTTTACAATAGAATATTAGGTATTATTATACCTACTAGTATAGGATTGATAGCTATAATTGATCTAAATACATGTGAACATTCACATTTACATATTTCTCAACATTTAACAAATTTTCAATACCCATTTGTCCTACAAATTGGCTCATGATCTAACCTGATCATTTGCATATTTTTCCATTATTTTTTTTTATTTTTTTATTTTTTATTTTTATCTTTTTTCAAATAAAATACTTCGTATGAACTATCAAAACGATCTGCTAAATGTGGTCAGGTAACTTTGAACATCCCTATAGAATTGGGTGAACGATTCAGGTCCACTTGGTCATGTAGCTTCAACCTTCAAAGCCCACTCCATTTCCTTCTCACGAGCCTATGCCTATCTTCTCCTGTCAATTTCCCTCTTCTTCTTCCTCTTCTCTCACACTCACACCATAACCAGAAAAACCCAGAAAACTCCATAACCAAAACCTCCAAAAATGGCTTCAATCAACTTAGGTCCATTTGGTGAGCACTTCTTCCACTGGTTCGATAAACCTCCTCACCCAATTTCATTCCCCAATTTTCTCTCTCTATCAATCTCCCAAAACCCTCCTAAACCCCTCTTCTCTTCCCTTTCTCTCTCCGACCCAAAGAAATCAAAACCAAATGAAGAACCCTCAAAACCAGGAAAATACCAACAAATGCTCGAACAATTTTGGTGGGAATGTGAGAATTTACCCGATGTTCGACACACCCCAGAAGTTGATAACATTTTGAATGAAGACCCAGTTTTTGAAACCAAAGAAAACCCAACTCCTGAAGAAATTGAAGAGAATAAAAAATGGTGGGAAGAATTTAGGAGTAACCCATTAGTTCAATTTTTAGCTAGGGCTGAAGAAATTGCTGATGCTTATAATGAATTTGAGATTAAGAGGAATGAGAAACCTTATAGGAAAGAAGATGCTAAGCTTTGGAAGGAAGTTCCTAATGTTATTGGGTTAGATGGAAGGCCAATGCCTAGGAAAGCTATAAAAACTAAAGATCAGTCGGATGATAAATTTTGGGATTTTGCTAAGCAGTTCTTTTTTGGACTCTGGGGTTTCCGGCAGCGCCCGTATCCACCAAGTAGACCGATTGATGTAGCTCAGGCTATTGGGTATAAGCGGCTCGAAAAGCGGTATTATGATTGTGAGTATTGCTTGTTCAATGTTGCTTTGTTTGTTTATTTATCAATGCGAATTGTTTGGTTAGTTTGAGATTTTGATTTTGCTGTGTTGAGTTGATTTGCAATTATGAATTTGTGCTTAGTAGTGGAAATTCAGTTGATTTCTTTCATTGATAAAGTGTTTTTAGTAACTTCTGTTAGCTTTATCTTTGCATTGCTTATCATATCATATATTGCTATTGGAATGTTTGGAATAATGTCATTCAGACCATGTTATGCTTATCTCATAGTCTCTGATTTCTCCATAATTAAAGATGTTAAAGTTACAGCACCAATGTCAATGTTGTTGGTTCAATGGTATTGTTGATCGATATATATCTAGTTGCTGGAAGTGTTATCACTCAGTATTAGCACTAGAGCTGTCAAAAGCTGACGTGTCCCGAAAAATTTACCCGAACCCGATTGTTAATCGACCTGTTTGAACCCGAAAAAATGGTGACCCGAACTTGATATGATCCGACCTGAAACCAACCCTAGACCCGAGTTAACCCGAGTATTTAAGACTCGAACCCGAACATGAATCGATCTGGAGATACCTGAATATAACCTGTAAATTATTGACCTAAACCGAACCCGACGTGAACCGAGATTAGCCCAAACCTGTTTTAACCCGACGTGAATTCAAGCCGACTTGTTACTAACCCGACCTAAATTCAACCCTATCTGTTACTAACTCGACTCGAAATCAACTTGACTTGTTATTGATTCGACCCAAATTCAACCCGAAATAAACTAATCCGAAACTGTTTCCTAAAATGAGTGGAACTAATGAAAAATAGATCAGAATAGGGTCTGAACTTAACTTCCGAAAATCTTAACCAAACCTATCTTATCGGAATCAATATGAACTTATTATATCTTATCTTAAATTTATATGACTCATTAGTTCGAATTTGAACTTATATGAAATTATTTATCCTAAAATAAGTGAAAAATGTAGTTTATACTTATTAGCTCGAATATAAACTTATCTGAAATTAATTCTGTTACAATAAATGAAGAAATTGATAATGATTAAACGTAGACGTTTATACATGAACTGTTAACAAACCGACCCGAAAAATGTACCCGAATTCGATATGACCCGACCTGAAATCAACCCGAGACCCAAATTAACCCAATATTTGAAATCCGAACCCGAATATGACCCGACCTGATTATAACCCGCAAATTATTGACTTGAATTGAACCCGATTTGAACTTGAGAATGACCCTAACTCGTTTTAACCCGTTAAAACCCGACCTATTATTCACCCGACCCGAATGTAACCCGATATGTTATTAACCCGGCCTAAACCCGACCCAAGCTCGATTAGATGTATGGCCTGACCTGACCTGACTCAAGCATGACCCTACCCGAACCCGACCCGCATAGGTTACGACATTAACCCGAATTGACCCGACCCACACTAACCCGACTCAAACCCGACCCGTTTACCCAAATTGAAAGCTCTAATTTGCACCAATGTCGATTCTATGCTCATGATTTCATTGGTCTCATTATAGTGTCATTATACCCGCATATATTATATGGAGTATAACCTCTGGTATTAATTTTATATGTTCTTGCTTCCTGCTCATTATGAGTAGCTTTACTGTATATTTTTGGATTCACTTTGACTACCTATATTCTATTTTTCTTCAAATTGATTGTTATGGAAAATTGGTTGTGAAGATAGGATTATCAGATTGGCTCTTAATGGGGCTTGTGCTGGACTGTCTTTGAATTTTGCATATGCTGTTATTACATTTGGCTTTGTTGGTCCTCTTGTTACGCAGCATATTTTTGTCTAGGGAGAGGATGCGCAGGTTCCCTTCATCGAGGAACACCTTTTCTCCATTGGAAGATGCTTTTCACTTATGAGGAAGAATACCTCTCTCTCCTTGAAAATCTAACAAAGAGTTTTCCGAAAACATGTTCCTGGAAAAAATATTCCTTCCTGCTCCTAGTCTTCTCACAAACATTGCCTGAACGAATTGTAAAGACGACGTGCCTCAAAAATTCATATTTCTGCGGCAAATTGGGAACAATAATTGTTCTTTTTTGTCCATTATATCTCTGATATACAAATGTTTGAGAGGGAAAATCTAATGAGACAACTAATGAGTTGAATGGCTTTACCTGTTATTACACTCAGTATGAATGTGTCAACAGGATCTTGACTCTCACTTTCTGTGGGAGCTTGTGGTGTTGGCTAGAGCTTTAAAAATCTCTGATCTTTCCACTAGGCCCTCCGTCTTAACCACTAGGCCAAGACCTCATTGGTCTATAATCCTTCCACATTAATGTCAATAAAAGAAGTTTTGAACACAATGGGGAATTCAGTTTCTTTAAGGTGTTAGGAAGTATTATGTTCTCCTTAGCCTCTTCTAAAATTTTGTGAGGGGTTCGCTAGAGGGTGGGCTTCCTAGAGTCTTCTATTAGCC